TGCTGCGAGTGCTCCTGAGGCACCAAAAGCTGCCCCAAAACAGCAGTCGGGCCCTCTGGACACGGTTGCAAGTCGCCCTCTCTCATGCTGGGGCTCTCCATGGTGTTATCAACTTGCTGCTCGCGCACGGCTGCAGAGGGTGGCCTCTGTGAGCAGCTTGTGATGACGGGGACAGGCGGTTCCCCCGCAGCCACCAGACACCGTGCGTCACGCAGCAGCTTCACACGTGCAACGAGCCCTCCCTCCGCAGGCCAGATCTCTGTGCTGGACACAGGAGCCCTTTCTGAGCTGCTTCCTCAGGACACAGTGCTGAGACCAGCGGGAAGAGCTGAGCAATCCAAGAGGAAACTTGTGAGACATCAAATATGACAGAGACTGTCAGCCAGTATGAAAGGAAAATGTGGCGCTGCCCCAAACAAAGGTCATCCTGTAGCCTGGGGAAGGGTTCTCTCTGGGAAGACCAAGACCAAACCTACAACCTTGCACCTGACTAGGATTCTTGGGCCACCACCTGTGCTCATGTCACCTCCCGCTGGACTATCCGGAACAACCTGGAGAGTGGCCAAGAGGCATCACCAGCCGGTGGTCCCTTCTGCCCTTCTTGTCCTACCACAGGCTCAGCAGGACACTGAGTAAGTCCAGGGTCTTGGCCTGGGGATGATTGGAGGCAAAGGGGGTAAAAAATCTTCCCAGCTGAGCACAGATTGCCCCATGCAGAGTCGCAAATGGACTTTTGTCAAGGTGCCTGTCAAAGCAGAGGCCCTTCAAGCCCACAGATCCCAGAAGAAAAGCCGTGGAACTGCCCGTGCCAACCCAACAGCCCCAGCCAAGACTGCTCTTAGCAAATGAAGCAGCTCCGACTTTCTGCGGCTTCTGAAAAGCAGCACGAAAAGAGAAGCAGCCTGGGCCCAGCGAGGTGGCTTCACGCCCGTCCGAGGGCGGGAACTGGAGGGGGACACTTCAAAGGGAGAAGCAGGGCAGCGATGCTGGACACGGCGCAGCACGGAGCGCTGCAGGGCCCCGCAGGAGCAGCGCTAGGAGCGGAGCCGCCCGGCCGCACTTCCTTCCTTATCCACCATCCCACTGACCTATTTCTTCAGTGCCCTGCTTCTCTGCGCCGTGGGGCACGGCGCGGGTGCCGCAGGAGGCTCTACCATGACGTGTCCTTACGGGGAGCCGACACGGCGCATTTCGGCATGCGGCAGCGCGCGGGCGGCGCTGCCGGCGCAGGGCTGCGCG